ACTAAAGGCATGGATGCACCACCACGCCCGGCTAGATATGTATTTTTGAATCAAAAACACCTTTGTCTTCACAGTATGAGTTAGAGAATGCAGCCTGAGCTGAAAACCAAAGAACCACAAGAAAGTGGAAATAACAATGATACTTAAGCTTTTTCAACAAAATGAAAAGTAAGTACACTGTAAGGGCAGCAGGCTGAGCAATAGTAACAGGAGTACATCCATAGTTTTTTGTTTTTACCTTTGTGATGATTTTTACTTTAAAACGTTACAACTCTGTAAAAATATTTCATTATATCGTGTTTTTTCTGTTTTCCTTGATTAAAATACAAAGTATGGTTGTTTTGCTTGCATGTATGTAAGCACACCACGTACATGCAGTGCCAGTAGAAGCCAGAGAGGGCATCAGATCACCTGGAATAGGAGTTAAGGATATTAACCACCATATGGGTGCTGGAAACAGAACTCAGGTCCATCACAAGAAGAACAAGTGCTCTTAACTGCTGAGCCATTTCTCCAGCCCCCTTGATTATAATTTTTAAATACTTTTTTTACATGTATCTGTGCCTGTATCAGTTTATGTGCACCACGTGTGTACAGGTACCTACAGAATCGAGTGTCAGATACCCTAAAACTGAAGATATGGGCGATTGTGAGCTCCCTAATATGGGTGTTGCTAAGCAAACCTAGTTCTGCAAGAGAAGTGCCCCTATTCCCCCCCCCCCCTTATTTTTTTGGTCTTTTTGAGACAGTCTCCCAGTAGCCCCAGCTGGCCTGGAACTCACAGAGATCTGCCTGCCTCTGCCTCCCAAGTGCTGGGATTAAAGGCATGCGCCACCATGCCCAGCTCCAATTTTATTTTATTTTTTTAAAGAATAATTTTGTTAAAAAAACAGAACATCAGTGCTCAGGAAGCAGAATGATTTTCAGTTTGAGGCTAGCATGTTTTATATAACAGAACTCAGTCTCTGTAAGACGGAGAAGAAAAAAATTTCTGGTGAAGCAGGGTGACATTGACATCTTGGTACCTTAGATTGCCTGATGTTATATCTGTGTAGCATACTACCTTCAGCAGCAGGGATACATCACTGATTTTCGATTCTGATGTTTTGGTCTTAAATGCTTTTGTTGCAGGGGTGGAACTTCACTCCTGATTCTCTGATCTTACTTAGAGGGATTGTAAGTGACAAATGTTAAGGAGGAAATACAAATAAAACTTCTTGTCATCAAATTCAAACCGAGGTCTAGAAGGAATGGCTTTTAGGTTGATGCCACATGTAATCCATTCCAGAGTTTAACCCTGTGTCTTGTAGGTGACATTTATCTTAATGAAATGGACCTTAGTTTCCTTTCCTAGAAGTTAATGCATAAGAGTGTCAACAGAAAGCAATTCCAGTTTTACAAAAATACAAAACAATAAAACCAAGTTATTCAAGAAGCTTAGTTTGAAAAATAAATACTTGTATTTGAAAAAATACTTTGTATTTGAAAAACATGACCATCAGCCTGCAAACAGTTATAATCAGTAACAATTCTAGTTTGGAGGACAGAAACTTGGTAATGTTTTCCTAATCTTTCCATGCACTAAATTTATATGCCTGTAAATGTACAGGCTTATGCATAATATATGAAGGTTAGACTGCTCCGCAAGGTGATGCATGCCTTTGATCCCAGCACTCCTCAGGCAGAGGCACGTGGATCTCTGAATTCAAGTCCAACCTGATCTATGTAGTGAGTTCCAGGCCACTTGAGGCTACAGGAAGACCCCGACTTGAAAAACAAAATTTACACTGCTCTACATATTTCTAGTCACAAATACATAGTATTACGTATAACTAGTATCACCATAAAATAATAGTTGTTTCTAAAATTATCAGGTAGCACTACAGTAGGATACAGAGTCCTTTGGGTACATGCCCAAGAGTGCTATGGCTGGATCATATGGTAGATCTACTTCGAGCTTTTTGAGGAACCTAGCTTTTTGATTTCTCTAGTGGCTCCACCAGTTTGTGCTCTCACCAATAGTGAGCGTTCTCCTTTCTCCACATCCTCACCAGTCCTTGTCATCTTTTTTTTTTCAATCTTAGCTCTTCTGACTAGAGTAAAATGAATTGTCAAAGTAGTTTTAATTTGCATTTTCCTAGTAACTAAACATGTTCATTTTTTAAACTATTTCTCACCTTTTGCATTTCATCTTTGGAGAACTCCCTGTTCAGCTCCTTGCCCCAGTTTTTAATTGGGTTTTTTGTTTGTTTGTTTTGTTTTTTGTTTGTTTGTTTGTTTTGTCGTTTAGATGTTTAGTGTTTTAGTTCTTTGTATATTCTGGATACTAACCCTTTGTCAGAAGTATAGCTGATAAAGATTTTTTTCCCCATTCTGTAGGCTGCCTCTTCACTTAAAAAATGGTGTCCTTTGCCATAAAGTTGCTTTTTAGTTTCAGGCGGTCCCATATGTCAATGGTTCATCATAATGCCCACATTATTGGGGTGTTGTTCAGAAAGTCTTTTCCTATACCTATAAGTTCCAGTGTGTTCTTTATTTTCTCCTCTATCAAAATCAGGGTGTCAGGACTTCTGTTGAGGTCCTTGATTCATTTAGAGTTGAGTTTTGTGCAGGGAATCTTTAAGTTTTACCCTCCATAGATGTCTGACTTAATCAGAACTTGTGTGACATGCTTCAACTTTTTGGGCTTGCTCTCATCTTTATATTTTGGGGAAAAAAATGTTACTTCTTTAATAGAGAATTGAATCCAAGTTACATTTATGGTATAATGTAATAACCTAAGATTACAGTTGGTCTCAGACATACTTTATTGTTGCTTGGATTTTGAAAACTGCTCATTTGCACATTTTTTGTTGGCCTCACAACAGCCTGAGAGTTTTAGTGTTAGGTTCCAACAAGAGCTGGCCAAGATAACACACCTTTCAGTTATCCTAGTACATTATAATATCTTAGAGAAGGCAGGAGCTAAAAATACAGACAGTGTCTAAAGACTTTGTATATAACACTGTAATTGCAGTTTTATATGCAAAAGGCAAGCTTTCCTCAAGAACTGGGGAAATTACACAGTTACTTTTTCCCTGGAGGACCAATGAGAGAAGAAGAGGATGTCCAGTACTGTAGAAGATGTACTATTAGGAACAGTGATGTCAGACTGGACAAAAAATTTGCATTTTCTTTTTTTTCTTTTTTTTTTTTTTTTTTTTTTTTTTTTTTTTTGAAAAGTTTAGCAGTTATCAAGTCCAGTGTTCTTTTGTTGTGGAGCATAACCCCGGCAAGGGAGTTCATTTTGTCTTTTGAGACAGAGTTTCCCTGTAGTCCCAACTGGCCTGGAACTCACAGAGATCTGCCTGCCTCTGCCTCTCAAGTGCTGGGATTAAAGGTGTGTGCCACTATGCCAGGCACAAAGCTTGTATTTTTTTTTTAAAACCTTCCATGGTGCATGCCTCTCCTAGCACTGAGGAGACAGAGGCAGATGGATCTTTGGGTTTAAAGCCAGCCAGGATTACATAGGGAGACCCTATCTCAAAAAAGATTGGTGGGGGTGCTGAAGAGTAATTAAGAGCACTGGCTGCTGTCACAGAGGATCTGGGTTTGGTTCCCAGAACCTACATGGTAGCAGCTCACAACTATCTGTAACTCCAGTTCCAAGGGATCCAACGCCCTCCTCTGACCTCCATGGGCATTGCACAACAGAGGTGCACTTATATACTTGCACTCATACACAAAAATAATAAAATATATTTTAATAAAATACCTGAAAAGCAGAAAAAAAATCTAATGACATTTTTTCATACTGCATATGTCAGACTTCTTTGTATAGCATTATATTAGATATATCACATGAATGTTTTCTATTACACAAATAATGAATCAATGAACATTGAAATCCCAAATCTAATAGTGTCTTTTGTGAACAATACTTGTTTTATCTTGATAACCTAATGTAATACATGCCAACTTAGGCGGATATAACAGACTGTATCATCCATTAGGAATAAATTAAGGACAACATCATCCTAATAGCAAGAACTCACATTGACAAAATACATGTATATTTCATATGGAACTTCCCAGAAACCATGCACAGTGGTCTCTATAGGCCAGTCTTTTGGCCTAGGAAATGGTAGTTGGGTACTGTTTTAAGCATTTAAGATATAAGAACAGGTTTGTTTGTTTTTAGATGCAGTCTCCCTATAGCCCTAGCTGGCCTAGAACTTATGTAGACCAGTCTGGCCTGTCTCACAGAGATCCACCTCCCTTTGCCCCTGAATGCTGGAATTAAAGGTGTATGTCACCATGCCTAGCAAGAAAAGCATATTTTAAGTTTAATCACCCTATAAATACTAGATCATACTCTTGGTAAGATTTAATAATGTAACATGATTTCAATTATATAAAGACTAATTTTAACCAAATCCTAAATGTTACTAAAGGTGCTCTTTTGTAACTTACATTATGAGAAGGAAATTAAAGACACATATTTGACAAAGATCATTATTTTTATATGTGTCACAGTACTTATAAAAAGCTCACATTTTCCAGTTGCAAATATGAGTATTCCTGGGAACGAAATCCATGGAAATAGTCTAATAAAAGGATTTTTAGTATTCATTATTTAATTGCCATAAAGCATGTTAATGTCCTCTAATTGCTCTGTCCTTTTGCTACTTAAAAAAAAATGAGTAAAATTTGATTCAAGAACCAGTTCTGAAAGAAAATCCTTTTCAAAATCTATGTATCCAATACAAAAATTTTGTAAAAACAAAATTTTCATCTCATGGCTCAATGAATGCTGTTTTAAATAAACTATAATTTGGGTAAAGTATTCTAGATGATTGTCTAAAATACTTG